TTTACAAAAGGTGTTTTTAGTATCCTACCAAGGATAGATATCATGCTTGTCTGGCATGAACAATTCTATATAAACACAAAATTAGCTTCTTTTATATGGAGGAAGCAAGAAAAGTCAAAGGTTGATGGTATCAGAAAAACTTTCACCTGGTGCCTCGAGAGTCTCAATCATACAAATGCAAAAACCACCAGCTACTTCACCAAACGAGTCCCTTGTTAGCGTTCTGTTTTAACTCCTCGACTGACCTATTTGGTTATTATCCCCGTCGAAACCTTGAGCTTTTGCAATCTGCTCTGTACTGATTAGGATGTTCCCTCTTTTGGTAACTCCTGTTGCATGCTGCCAATGCTTGACTCACCTTTTGAATTTCCAATATTTTTGGATTTCTATAGCTTTTTGACATGTCCCCGCCACTCCATGCATTCCCCTTTCTATCTCCCCATCCAATATCTTTTGGAGCTCCACGGTCTGGGATTAAGTATTGCTCCCCATGAACACGATCACTTCGCTGTATTTTTTGTTCCTGCCATTTCAAACCCCAGGAATTATCTCCATGATTATCCCGCCACTTATCCTTGCAGCTGAGGCCCCATTGATTGTCATTCTTATCCCAACCCCCTGTTTGTTTGACATTGTTGGTTCCCTGATTCCGGTCCCATACCTTCTCAGAACAATGTCTCCATGTGGCATCTTTTGCAGCTTTGTTTTCTTGAGGAGAGTTTTGCAACCATCCGTTCTCTTCATTGTTTGAGTTCCTAAGCATATCGCTATCACTATTCCAATGGCTCCAGCCTTGCGATCCATTCTTCAAAATATCGCTATCCCAGGCATTGTAGTTAGAAGACTCCCATGGGTTAGCAACAGTATCTGGATTCTGTTTACGTTCTTCTGGGGGAAGAGATTCTGAATTCTTTTCCATTTTGTTTCTATGCCCTATGTTACTATCGTTCTCGGCTTCTTCAGGCACAAAATATGCGCTCTCTAGGTCTTCAATCAGTTCCAGATCAATAATAGGATTCCAATTTATTTTGTCAATGTAAGTATCTGGATCAGGAAGAAGGATGTCACAGGGAAGACCATTGATCTTTGCCCAAAAGCGTTTTTTGGCATTCTGAAATGCCTCTTCACCAGCTGAGTCATCCCAACTGAGTATATTACTATGGCAGAAAGTATACTTCTTTGCAGCCACTACCTTCCACCATGGTACTGATCCAATTGACCTACAGAATTTCTTTTCCCATGGCGGTACACCATCATCACAGTAACCTATATAAGAAGAAAAGAATGTATGAACCACCAGAAGCATCATTCTCCAAAAAAAGAACAGAACAACATATAGACAAAAAGGCTATCTCCATATTAACAGATGCAGATATTTTAGAAGTAAACCTATAACCTCGACACCCAAAGTATAGAAAGAGAAAATTAGAAAAAGCTCCCATCTATATAGGATCCTTAGCCAACAAAAGTCTGCTGTTATATTGAAACAAGGTAGATATGCTTAGAGGCTTCTACTAAAGTTAAAAGGTTAAACCTTTATTCTGATGGCAGAACTTAGAATGGTCAGCATCCTCATGACCCATATCATTTGTATACCCTATGGAGTTTCTGGAAAGGAACATCACTCGCACTAGGTTCGGGACAAATAATTTTCACAAATACGTGGAATCTATTTACAAGTATGTTTTGATTTAAATATAAGTGTGAATTTGCTAATGAATTCTACATTGTGAATTTGCCAATGACTTATACACTTTCTTGTTGAATCCATTTTGTCCAAACATGAACTTCAAAACAGTGCATCAAGTATGGAACTTAACATAATAGATTCAAGAAGTACAGAGTTGTATAAGGACTTCCAGAAAGAATATTTAAAGAACAACATACATATATCTATACATGTGCAACATGTATCAATATAAATTTCACAAATTCAAGTCTAAAACAAATTATTGCAACTCAAAATAAATCCAAGAATTGCATCTTCGGGTAAACTTTTTTTACAGACCATTTCCATTTCCAAAAACCACCCCTACAAACAGTAATACAGAAATCAGCAACAGCCAAGATGTCAGGCAGATTCAGTGTACAAAAAGCAAAGAAGTCCTACTCCACCAAACCAAATTACTTGGGGTACAAGCTCAATCTATGAAGTCGAAACTAATCGATACATTGAAGAGAATTAAATTCATTTCTAATTCTTTTCATTCTAATATATTACATCTGCAATCTCATTTATTTGTCCTCTTGGTGAATGACCCTAGCCAATGCTACATTAACCACCAAAGTCATCAGACTTCTCTTCCTCCAATTCTTCATTGCATTTGTCATAACAATTCCTTACAAATTTATCTCATTGTCATTCCAGGTAGCAATTAAGAAAGAGCATAAAATGGAGGAATCCAGTTCCGCTTTCTCCCAAAACTTTCCCAGAAACCAAACAGAAATATCAACCAAATATGAAAGAAAGACACAATATCCAAAAAGCTCCCAACTACTGGCTCAACCAGATGTTTCAACAAACCAATATCTAAAATACAAAATATAGACAAGTGAAAGGCTGCCCAATCCACAGAAAATTGAAGAAATCCAATACAGATACATGTACGTCACTTGAAGGTACCTGAATATGAAACTTCGTGGTCGTAAGGGGGAGAGTTTGGAACTCTTCGGGAATTGGAAAATCTCCGCAGGTGTCGATTTCTCCAGTTTCCCATGTCGAACCAGGACTCAAATTACCCTCATACAATCCCCAACTGCTACAAATGGAGAAGGAAAAACAGAGAAGAAGTGGAAGAGATTAAGTTTTCAAGATCCAATTTATTGCAAAATAAAGTTTTCGCCAATTACAAGTCCCAATTGAATGTAACAGAGTGAGAATCTTTGAGAAGCTTCATCAGATCGGTTGCTTCAAATGTTGGGGGGGGGGGGGGAGAGAGAGGCGCGGGTTAACGGGTCGACGGGTTAACGGTTTTACGGGTATCGGGTTGCGGGTTAGCGCCAATTAATGTATATGTATTATGTGTACATATAATTATTTTAATTAATAAAATACATATTATGTTTTTATGTTTATTCCATATTATTCTAATTTTATAAATTAAATTTATATAAATTGCCCTAAAGCATTTTACTAAAATTATTTTGTAATTTTTCTTTGTACTCAATTTTAAAAAATTGAAAATTTATTCAATTAATTAATAATTTCTAAAATACTAAATGATTCTTTAATTATAAAAATTTAAATATATTAATATTCTTTTTACCTCGACTCAATAATATCAAAATTAAATTAATTTTATGACTATATATTTTATAAACTGTATTTTAAAAAATAAATATTTTTAAAATAATTTCATGAAAATTATATTTTCATTGTATAGCACATAAAAGATTTATAATATAAACATTCAAAACAGATTAACCCTTATGCTCAATTTAATATTTTTTATGACAGCCCGGAACTT